CTTGGGTTTGGAGTGAGCTCATTCATTTCAATACATCTATTTGGTTCAAATACCTGGAATGTGTATCATTACTATAGTTGATGTTTGGTTCGTCGGCTTTTTCGGAATGGAATATAATAAATATATTATAAACCACATCGTAAATGATAGTTATTGGCTCTTTGTAAATGGAATATAAGAAATTTTCACTAATTAAATATATTAGTATAAATGTATTAGTAAATTTAGTATAACTAATTAATAATTTCTGTTGTTAAATACGTATAATTATTAGTATCATTGATAATATATATAATATTAAATAAATTAATATACATTATATAATACATATAACTAATATTATTATTATTATAAGTTTGTAACTAATTAAATTAAATATTATATATATAATTAAATATAAATATACAAATGTTATAATATAAATATATAATTATAATTATATAATATATAATATTAATGGTACTAATATTTTATATAAATATAATGCATATCAATATTAAATATAGTTATTATTATATATTATTATATTTAAAATAATAATAATAATTATAATTATATAATTTATTAATATTATATACATGTATATATCATAATTAAATGCACATATAATATACATTTATAAATATACATATATATTATAAATATATTATTATATAATATTAATAAATTTATAATATATATTATATAATATAATTATATTTAACTAAATAATTATAATATATAATATAATAATATCATTATTATAAGTTTGTAACCAATTAAATTAAATATTATATATATAATTAATTATAATTATGCAAATGTTATAAAATTAATATATAATTATAATTATATAATATATAAATATTAATTGTACTAATATTTTATATAAATATAATGCATATTAATATTAAATATAGTTATTATTATATATTATTATATTTAAAATAATAAATATAATTATATAATTTATTAATATTATATACATGTATGTATTATAATTATATGCACATATAATATACATTTATAAATATACATATATATTATAAATATATTATTATATAATATTAATAAATTTATATTATATATTATATAAATATAATTGTATTTAACTAAATAATTATAATATATATTTATATAATATACTAATATTATAATAAAATATATAATTATATTATATTATATATATTATATATTATAATATAAATATAAATATAAATATATAATATATATAAATATTAATTATACTAAATATTATGTAATTATAAAATTTTGGAATCACACTTGGGTTTTGGACAAAACCCACCAACTTACTAAGGAATGGTGGAATACTAAATTTTTAGATATCATTCCAAAATTTCAATTCCAATAGTAGTGAACCAAACATGAATCATGGGGTTTATTCCAATTCCCCATTCTGAAACCCTTTTACCAAACGCCACCTCAATCTCAGTTACCCAAGGATTCAACACCAGGTATCCAGATAGTTGTGGAATTAGAGATTAGCAATTGAAATAGTGAGATAGAAGAAAAAATGGCTAACACCAACCGGACTCTACAGGAATTAACAACTCCTAATATTAATCATCAACCATTGTGCATTGAGTATCCAACTTTGGATGTTAATACAAATTTTGAGTTAAAATGTGGACTCATTCAGCTGTCGCCTTGCGAGAACTTGTAAAATCCCTCATATTTTTCTTAAAATTCCCTTTTATTAGAATTTATTCCTTTTATAATAGCCTTACTACTCATTCACTCCCTCAATAGTTACAATTAATCATAGAACCAAGGGTTTTCCCTTTATTTTCATCGTTAAGGTAAACTAGGGTTTTGCATCTTTTGGTAGAGTGAATAATCGGTGTGGAGTGTGTTTCAATTTAATGATTAAAAGTAAGTTTTAGATAAGAGAAAGTGTGTGATTAGAAGTAATAATAATAAGTTAGTGAATCATAAGTACATGCGATTTAAGGAAAATCGGTTTGAACCGACGGGTACCGTTCGCTACCGATTGAGTGCGCCACTTGAACACTACTTTATTACCTTAATTCTCTTGTTATTATTGCATAAATATCATCCCTTAATCAGCCAAGAGAGAGAGCCGAAATTATTGACTAAAAAGAAAGGAAAAAGAAGAAAAATTAAAGATGTAATCTTTAGGTGACAAGTGGCAAACATCCAAGGGTTGTTTGACCAACCAATTCCCTTCATTTTTATCCCCAAAATCACTTCAATTCCTCTTCATTTTCTGCATTTCCAGCTGACGTTGAGGAGAGAAAGAAACCAAGTGAGCAACCTCCAACTTTTACCTTGAATCATTTTCATTTGAGAGAAATCACCCAATCCAAACCGATTAAACTTTCATTTTAGTGCTTAAGTAGTTGTGTGTGGTAAAAGTTTGGGAAGAAAGTATTTGGTTTCACATCTACAAGGAGTTTTTGGAAGGTACCATGGTTGTCTTTCCTTTTTCTCTTCTTATTCTTGCTAAAGTTTGGATAGAAACTCTTAATCTTGGTTTTGACGGTTAATTAGTGAGTTGTCCATGATATGATGGAATGTTAGCTAGGGTTTACATTTTCAGCCTTGATTATGGTTATCTACCTATCAATTGATGTTATTGAGCTAGTACTTGAGGTTTTGTTGATAGAGTACTTGTTAGATATGAATTTCTAGAGTAAAAGTCAAAATTCCAGAAATTTGAAACCAAGTTGTTCTGTTCTGACTTGTTTAATTCGTCCATGTTAGAGGCCGAATCAGGCCTGGGTCAAAACATGAAACTTGTAGGGAATGAATCGGAGCACTGTAGAGTGTGAAATGACAAAATTACCCCTGACTGCCAAATGCACTGTTTCGCGGACAGTTTTCTATTTTCTCTGAGATTGCACCCTTTGACCTTGAAAATGAACGAAATGGTTGTTTATGTCTTCCTAAGACTTGGAGTTCTCTGTCTTAGCTTCGAAATGGTATAAAATGTACCCCAATCCGATAAGCGTAGTTTTAGTTGTGATCGAAACGCCAAGAGACGTCAAACCTGTTATTGTGTTATTTATCTTGAACATTAGTTCCGGTTGCATTGCTAGTATTGTTTTATACTTGAATGACATTGAGCCTAGTTGAAGGGCTATTGTGGTAACATTGCTTGTGTGTGACTTTGGGGCTGATTTGGGGAAAACAATGAAGCCATTAATGGCTGGAAACTAGCTAAGTACAAGGGGCATGCCGCCCAAATTGTCATTCGAGAACTAGACGTGTGTACTTGTGGTTCGAGCGAAGAGTTGAGGTTGAATTGAACTTGAATTCTCTAGGTTATTCGAGTCCTCTTTTGTAGAGGTAGATAAGTAAGAGTTCGGCCGAAACTTGTACCCTTAGAAAAATGGAATTAACGACTAATAGAAATACGTTATTCTCGTCTCTTCGACTCAAATGGGGATTTCAAAGTTTAATCACTTCAAAGTTTCAAAGTTTTAAGAGTGAGCATGAGTTTTACGAATATTCCTCAAATGAGTTTTAGTTACTTGATTTTCGTTAAACGAAACGCTTAAGTTTCGAACCTTAGTTAATTTCAAAGCTCTTAAACGATGTTTTATCGCAGATTTGGACTCCAACGAAGGAGTTACACCTGAGCGTGATTTTGACAAGCACTAAATCTTTGGTGAGTGTTTTCAAATACATGATTGAACTTGATATTTGATTTATCAATGTGATCGGATAACATTTGATTGGGTTTAGTCAGGCAAGTGTATACTTTATCGCACTTGACCTAACTCAACTAAATACTTGATATCTCATTCATGCTTGTGTAAGTGACTTGATTTGCATTGACCTGTACTTGTATTTATACTTGTGCTTGACTTGTAAGTGCTAAGTGGCAGTATATACCACACTCGATACGAGTGGAAGGTACTTCTCATTCCTTTCTCCGTACTTTTCTCTTGATTAAGTTGATTGGTCATCGACTATAGTGACTACTTGGGAACCCAAATCCCACTGGCCAGTTAATCGAGTCAAGCCGGCAAGGGTTTGATCGATTAGATAACGAACCATGGGTATCTAGTACTGTCGAGTGGAGTGTTATCTTCTCGACTAATCGGTATACTCGAGTATTACCACCAGTGTTTATCTTGAAGTGTGGGCCCGGTAAGGGGTTTGGTTGGTGGACAAAGATTGGAGTTAAGTGGAGTACTACTGGACTAGTTACCTTACTTGAAAGTTGACGGAGTGTCAACTACTATACGATCAAGTTATGGTGGAGCCAGTTTACAAGAGCAACTGTATTATTTTACATGAAATGCTGAATATTAAATGTTTGGTCATCCGAAGTGTTATTGCTCATTTTCTTGATTTGTTAATGCTCGCTAATTTACTATTATGATATTGTCACTTGTACTTTTGGTCAACTTGCAATTTGGGATCTCACTGGATTTTTAGCTCACTCTATTAGTTTTCTTTTCCTTACAGGGGGTACGAGCGAGGCGTGAGACTTGTACAGGTTAGCGTAGTCTAGTTTTTGGAAATTTTGTAATTGTACTCACACTAATCGCTCGATTAGGGTTGAATGTATTTAGAATTCCAATCTTTTGATGCATTTGGGATTGTATGGAAGTTTGAGACAGAAATGAATGTATTTGTATGTTTTAAATTTGATAACGGTTGATTTCTTTACGTTAAGAAGTTGTGAACTATATCATCCAAAAATCGTAAGTGAGTTCTGGCGAGAGTTGGGCAGGCGGTCCGCTAAATCTTAGGTACGCCCTAGGGGAAGGTGGGGTCGTCACATACCTACCTACCATGGATTATCTGGAGAAGCTACTCGTAAGCACCTAAAGGAGTTTCACATAGTTTGTGCAAGTTTCAAATCTCAAGGACTTTCTGAAGACCAAGTGAAGCTAAGGGTTTTTCCATTTTCATTGAGAGATGTAGCAAAGGATTGGTTGTATGACTTACCTTCTAGATGAATCACCACTGGGAACATTATGAAAGAGCTGTTCTTATAGAAATACTTTCCATCGTCGAGAACGACAAACATAAGGAAAAAAATTTATGGTATTCAACAATTTGATGGATAAACTCTCTATGAACATTGAGAGCATTTCAAAAAGTTGTGTAATAGTTGCCCTCATCATCAAATAAGTGAGCATCTATTGATCTATGAAGGGTTATTGCAAGTGGAAAGAAATACAATCGATGCTGTCAGTGGTGGACCTTTGGTGGATAAGACATCGCAAGAGGCTAGAATGCTCATTTCTAATATGGCTGAAAATTCTCAACAATTTGGAGGTTAGGCGATCCATCAAACAAGGCATGTTAATGAAGTTGAAACTTCAGAGTTACAAAGACAAATTTCGGATTTGACGTCAATGTTTCATCAATTTGCTATTGGGAATGCACAAGTAGAAAGAATTTGAGGAGTATGCTCTTCAGTAATGCATCCTACAGACATGTTCTCAACACTTCAAATTATCGGGAGTGAAGAGATCACCCCAATTTTTGTTATGGCAGCCAACAGCCTCAAGGCCCATACAGGCCCCCACAGCCACAACATCAATAACCGACTCGACCACAGATGTTGAATAATCCAGTTCCTAGTGCAACCTCATCTCTAGAGGATATGGTGAAGTCATTAGCTAATTTAACTGCATAGTTTCAATAAGAAATGATATAATTTAAGTGAAAAATGGTACAGTTCAAACGTTCAACCAAGGCAAGCATTCAAAGTTCGAAGACTCAAATAGGCCAGTTGGTCACATCTATAGCTGATTCAAAAGTCCAGAATCTTGGAAAATTGCCTTCTCAACTCATGGCGAATCCAAGAGAAAATGCAAGTGTTGTGACTTTAAGGAGTGGGAAGCAATTAGAGTTATTAGATGGATCGAATTCATAATTAAAGGCTAAGCAGATTGAGTTGAATGAAGGAAGTGAAGTTCCCAAAACGAGCAACAAAGGAAAGGTTGAGGATGTTAAACCTAACATCATTATTCCACCATCGTTTCCTAGTACGTTAGTGAAACCTAATAAGGATATGAAGGAGTAAGAAATTCTTGACGTCTTCTATAGGGCAGAAGTAAACATCCCATTACTTGAGGCTATTAAACAAATTTCAAAGAATGCAAAATTTCTTAAAGAGTTGTGTACAACAAAGAGAAAGCTCAAGGGAAATGAAAAGGTCACTATCAACGAAAATGTCTCAACTATTATCCAAAGAAATTGCCCCCGAAGTGCAAGGACTCAGGCATGTTCACAATTCCTTGTGCTATTAGTAATGTTCGAATTAAACAAGCTATGTTAGACCTAGGAGCATCTATCAATTTCATGTCTTTGTCAATATATTTTTCTTCAAATTTGGATCCTTTAAAAGAGGCTGAAATTGTTATTCAGTTGGCAAATAGATCTAATTCATATCCAAAAGGGGTATTAGAAGATGTTCTTGTGCAGGTAGAAGGATTGATATTTCTAGTTGATATCTACATAGTAAACATGGAGGATGACAAATCACCAAATCCAGCACCGATATTCTTGGAAGACCATTTTTGAAAACTGTCTAAACAAAAATTGATATTTCTAATGGTACTTTGACCAAAGAATTTGATGGTGAGATTGTTAAATTTAATATTTACAATGCCATGAAATATCTTATTCTGTTCTCTCTATTGACATTATAGATGACTTAGCTCAACAAACTTTTGATGTCAGTGAGAAAGATGTATTAGAAGTAGTTATTAATAATAGTTTATGTAGCGATATTGAATGTTTGCAATTGAATGATGAAATTGATAATTGTATTAGTACTTTGTACTCTTTACCACCAATGTTATATAGATATAATGTCAAACAACTAGATGTGAAATTTTACCCAAAACTGTTATCTTCTATGATACAGGCACCAGTATTAGGGGTTAAATCCCTTCCAACCCATCTCAAATATACTTATTTGGGAGAATGTGAAATATTGCCAATGATTATATCAAACACATTGATAAGTGTGCATAAGGAGAAGCTACTCTGAGTGTTATGGGATCATAAAACTGCAATTGGATGGATAGTTGCTGATATAAAGGGAATAAATCCTTCTATTTGTATGCACAAGATTTTGTTAGAAGAGAAATCAAAGCTAGTGCGTGAAACTCGGAGAAAACTTAATCCTGCAATGATAGAGGTAGTGAAAAAGGAAGTGTTTAAATTGTTGTGTGTGAGAATAATATATCCAATATCCGATAGTAAGTGGGTAAGTCTGGTACAGGCAGTACCCAAGAAAACTAGAATGACCATGATAAAAAATCAAGATGATGAATTGGTATCAACTAAAGTTCTTAATGGTTGGAGGTGTGTATCGACTATCAAAAACTCAACACTGTGACCAGGAAGGATCATTTTTTCTTACTTTTCATTGATCAATTATCAAAATAGTTAGCTTGCAAAGTTTTTGCTTTTTTTTTTTTTTTATGTTTACTCAGGTTACAACCAGATCGCGATTATGTCAGAGGACCAACAAAAGACAACGTTTATCTGTCCATTCGAAATATTTGCATATCGACGAATGTCATTTGGATTATGCAATGCACCTACTACTTTTCAACAATATATGGTAAGTATATTTTTCAATTTTGTTGAAAATTGCATTGAGATGTTCATGGACAATTTTACAGCATATGATGATTCATTTGATCATTGTTTAGACAATTTGGCAAAAGTCCTCGATAGGTGCGTAGAAACTAATTTGATTTTGAATTATGAAAAATATCATTTTATAGTAGAGCAGGGTATGGTGTTAGGACATATAGTATTTAGTCAGGAAATAGAAGTGGATAAGGCCAAAGTGGATTTGGTTAAGAATTTACCTTACCTTGCAAATGTGTAGGAAGTCCATTTTTTTTGGCCATGTAGGGTTTATCTTAGGTTCATTAAAGATTTTTCGAAAGCTGCATTGCCAATGTGTAAATTACTGCAGCAGGATGTGCCATTCAACTTTAATAATGAATGTAAAGAGGATTTCGATAAACTGAAAAATTTGTTGACTTCTGCACCAATTATTTAACCTCCCAATTGGAATTTGCCATTTGAGATCATATGCAATACCAGTAATTATGCAATAGGAGTGGTATTAGGACAACGAGTTAGGAAGTAAGTGTATGTTATACATTACGCTTCTAAAACTCTTAATCCAGCACAGTGCAATTATACTATGACTGAAAAAGGAACTCTTGGCCATAGTTTTTATTTTAAATAAATTTCGGTCTTATTTACTTGGATCTAAAGTGACTGTGTACTCTGACCATACAATTTTGAAATATCTTTTGGCAAAGAAAGAAGCAAAATCGAAGCTTATCAAATGGGTTCTACTCCTTCAAGAGTTTGACCTGAAAATTAAAGACAAGAAGGGAGCAGAAAATCATGTAGCTGATCATTTGAATAGAATTGTTCAGAAGGAGGATTCTATACCGATTCAAGAGTCCTTTCTTGATGAACAATTATTAGATATACAAAGTGTAATGCCTTGGTATGTGGAGATAGTCAATTATTTGGTCACTGGTTTAATACCATGTCACTTTAATAAAACTCAAAGAGATAAGTTTAAAAGTGAGTCCAAACACTATGTGTGGGATGAATAGTATTTATGGTGTTATTGCTTTGATCAAGTTGTTAGAAGGTGTGTTCCTGAACTAGAATTTTATTCGATTCTTAAATTCTGTCATCAATATACTTGTGGAGGTCACTTTGGTTCTAAATGAACTACTAGGAAAGTGTTAGTTAGTAAATTTTATTGGCCTACCTTATTTCAAGATGCTCATGAATTTTATAAGGGTTATGGACCTTGTCAGAGAGTAGGAAATTTGTCCCGTAGGAATGAAATATTTCTAACACCTATTATTATCTATAAAATTTTTGATGTTTGGGATATGGATTTTAGAGGTCCTTTCCCTTCTTCGTTTAGATATATGTATATTTTATTGCCTGTTGATTATGTATCGAAGTGGGTGGAAGCCAAATCCACTAGAATTGACGATTTTAAAGTGGTTGTAGACTTTCTTAAATCTAACATTTTTACTAGATTTGGTGTGCCCAAGGCTATCATAAGTGACCAAGAGTCTCATTTTTGCAATCGTATTATAGAGGTATTAGTGAAAAAATATGAAATTTTTCATAAAACTTCTATTTCATACCACCCACAGGCGAATGGATAAGTTGAAATTTTCAACCATGAGATTAAGGGTATTTGGAGAAAACTGTTAATCCTACAAGGAAGGATCGGAGTGCGTATTTGGAAGATACACTGTGGGCCTATAGAATAGCCTATAAAATTCCTATAGGGATGTCTCCTTTAAGGTTAGTTTTTGAAAAACGCTGTCACCTTCCTGTGGAGTGAGAGCATCAAGCATATTGCATAATAAGGAAATATAATTTAGATTTACAAAGAGCTGGTGAAGAGCAAAAATTGTAGGTACAAGAGCTAGAGGAGATTCGACTTGAAACTTGTGATAATGCATCTTTGTACAAAGAAAGGACAAAATTGCTCCATGACCAAATGCTCCTGAGAAAATCTTTTGTAGAGGGAAAAAAGTCCTGCTATACAATTCTAGACTCAAACTTATGCCAGGTAAGTTGCATTCATGTTGGATTAGTCCTTTTGAGATTACTAAAGTTTTTCCCTATTATGCAGTCGAAATAAGGAGTTTGGAGACAAATCAAGTATTTAAAGTGAATGGCCATAGATTGAAACCTTTCAACGATGACTTTAAGGAGCGAATAATGGAAGCGCTACAATTAATGGAGCCAGGTTATAATGATTAAATAATTAATGGCTTTGTCGAGTCAACGACATCAACCAAAGGCGCTTGTTGGGAGGCCACCCAATATTTTATTGTTTTAGTAATTTACTTGAGACAATTTATTTGGCTTTTCTATTAATAAGTGTTATTTTTTATTTGATTGTAGGACATTATTGGAGTAAAATTGGAGAAATTGACTCGTTGATTTGTGTATGCCATGACACAAGAGGGTCAGAACTAGCAGTATATGATGGGCTATGGACCGGGTCTTATGTTGGGCACCCATCATAGCTCAATTGACAAAACCAAAAAATGGAAACAAAGAACAAGGTTTCAACTGTTGGTCCTGCTAAGATCAATTGGT